TGAGTTGACGAGACCGGAAAAACACTGGGGAAGAACACAGGGTTTAAATAAGAGGGGAACTAACAAGATAATTCAACTAAACAGGTGAACATGACTAATTAGACACATCAGGAAAACTGAGAAATCTGAGAAAATCATCTCAATTTTGTTATAATTTTCTAAAACGTTCTGTTCAGGAATATCAAAAAATAAACAAAAACACAAGAAAGAATATTAAACTCATGTGCCGTTTTACATGGCCAATGAACAATAAAAAAAAAAAATTCTATAGATTAAAGGAAAGAAAGAAAGAAAGAATGATGGATAGAAAAAAGGGCATAAAGAAGGAACGTTGGAAATAACAATTGACAGAAAAAGAAAAAGACTGAACAATACATAAAATTATAAAGAACGATGGATAGCAAGAGAAAGAAAGAAAGAAAGAAAGATAGACGGTGGATAGATATAAAGACTAAAACTTTCTATTGAGGAATATCCAAAATCGATGTGGTCTCAGGCACGTTCTACTCCAATGTATGTCTACAGAAAGAACCAATCACGCGCATCTAGAAAGCTCACCACATTTCCAGATGGGCAAATTGCGTTACCCAAACAACATTATCCATTAAACCTCACATTTGTGCTCAATTACATCTGACAGCAGTGGCGTCTGATTATCCAGTCTGTCGAGTTGGCCGCTCCAGAGCTCTGATGGCTGCGTAAGCCCAAGCTTAGAGGTATCAGGAGCCCGGCTGATCCACGGCCTTGTTTGTGTTCTCTGGGCTCTGACGTGGCTCGAATGAGCCACATACCAGCCTCCTCACCCACCACCATCTGTGTTGATGTAAAATAACCCTGGATCCTCTGATCCCGGATCAGTTTCCTCCTCTTGATTCTGTTAGGACTGGGGTTGAGGAAACTGGTCCTGGACGAGGCCTTATGGTCAACGCCTACTCCAATTAGCCTCCACAAATGCAAAAGCCCCAAAGGTGTGGGAGGTAAAAACAAGAAAGAAACACGCTGTACAACACAACAATATTCTATGACAGGGTTAAGTGAGCCATACATATATTATTACTTATGCAGAACTCCTAATTTCTAATGACTAATATAAAGGTAGAATGCATGGAAAACGTGGAACTCCTAAAACTGACATTAAACTAAAAAGACTACCCATGGAAAAGAGGAGTTTGCAAGAGATACACAGCCTGAAAAGTGAACCATAATATCAACAATAACAGTTTAACCCTTTACAGCCCGACATATTAAAAAAGAGTCAGAATTTAGTTTCCCCCCCAAATGAACAGTTTATTAAATCTTTAGATGAAATCTAAAACAAAAAAGTTTGCATGTTTTTTGTTGAATATCATCTGATGCATCAGGTTTTTATGGCTCATGTAGCATGATATAGTGAGAATATATTCAGAAGCCCAAATTAAGCAAAAATGTGCAATTTGGTGCAGATGCTGATATTTATATGGCTAAAAAGTAAGATGAAATTCTGATAGCTTATAATGTAAATCAGTGCGATCTTTATCTTTAACAGTATAGCAGTATGCAATGCATATAAATATCAGTTGTCACTCAATATCTCCCAATAATATGTCTTAGTAAGATGATAATTGTATGAATAATCAAGTAAACCTAAGTTGCTTCAGTCCAGTAAGTGCTCATCTTGAAATATTCTAACAATATAAAAGTTATTCTTACATTTACTTTGTAAAAATCTGTAAAGATTTCAAGGTGGACGTTTTTACAATTACACTAAAAGGGCTTTTACTTGATTCAATAGTATAAACTATGAATCAGACAACAGAAGGCATGTAGTAGATTGTGTACAGCAGGTTTTTTAGCAATGTTTTGATCATGGTGATAATTACTGAAATTTGCAAATGTATGATACAATAGGCTTTGCAGGGTTAAGGGACTAAAACTGAGCTGTGTTGGGCCACAGAATTACAAATTACATATTACTTTTCATTCTACCTTTTCTAAGACCATTCTCCATGTTATTACATTAATAGGAGCCACAAACAAAGCAGCGAGCAATACTACACAGCAATTATGAGCTAATTTTGCACACCAGTGTTTGAGTGTTCTCAAAGGAACAAGAAAGTTGTAATTCTCAGGCCTTCATCAGCTATAACAAACAATCTTGTGTGCATTATAGGCCATATGAAGCAAACTGCCTCAAATTATCCTCACTTAAAATCATTACTTTCTAAGGCTTTTCCCACTATGATAAATGCTGGATTTATGTTCTTTTGAAACTTTGTTGAGGTTGTGTTGAGTCAGGTTTCATGCTTTTTATTCTGAAAGGGGGTTAGCACTGCTTTTAACCTGGGTTTATGAAGCCCTGCTTCACTAAAAATTCTCATGCGTTTTGTACAGTCAGAAACTAAAATAAGATTCACATCTAAGGAAAACCGTTGAATCGATTTCACTGACATTTGTAGAGATGGACAAGTTACATATATTTAGTGCATTTCCATAGCTGACATAAACATGAAAAGATAAGTCAACATTAAATCAAAAATTCTATTTAATGAAGTTCTTGTTTTTAATATAATGTACAGGTGAATCCATTCAGCTCTAAACAGAAGAAAGTCCATATCACTTTTATATGGAAGAATTTCTGTCTTCTGAAGTCATATAAAAAGCATTATGCACTGAAAAGAAATGAAAGATGAAAATATGACAATGCAATCAGTGCATCACTTTTCATGCTAAAAAAGTCATACAGGTTAGGAACATGAGAGTGAGTGAACTAACCATTGAAATGTGTGTGCTTTAGTGAAGAGTGAGTCTGTTTTGCACATGTCGGTATGTTTAAACGTGTTTGTGTGCATCGCATGGTCATTCAAGAAAAAAACAGATTCCCTCTGCTGTACACAGAGCCGTTTTATCTCCTGAGCGCTGTCCCACTTCTGCATTCTGTAAATACCCTCGCAAAAGCAAGAGAATGCCCTAATGTAGGCCATAGTGTCTTCTGGAAACCTTCTCTTGAGCGAGTCATGTCTGAACCGGGGCAGAGTCCGGAGCATTTTTAAACATTTTCACTTTGTATTGATGTGCACCAACTAATCGCTCACAATAAGACAAGAATGGTGTATTAAGAAAGTAATAAAGTGCATTTTGATTTCAAGTTGACTTTTTCACAAGCATGAGATGCTCCTGGATCAATGTCCTTTGTTGCTTATGTTACAAAATTCTTAACCAATCATAGTCCTCTGATCGTATGGGTAGTGTAGGGTTTGGATTATGATTGTTTGAAAATATTTTTTTTCAATGAATGATTGATTCAGGAATATGTCTTTAAAAAAAATGTATGCTATAGCAAACAAACTGCAAAACAAACTGGGTGTTTTAGCTTGGATGACTTGCTCCATCAAGACATTTAACAGCATCAAAATAATTCCAATCAAACTAATATGCAGCGACTTCTGGGCTGTGAGTAGCTTCTGCAGTAACCTGCAATCCAATTTAGCAACTACAGTAGCAAATGTCAATGCTTTGAAATAAAATGTATTTTAAATCATATTTGAAGAAGAATGGGAAAGTTTCTGCCCGATGGCATGTCATTTCACTTCAATTAGTTCTGGAAATAAAAACATCCAATAAAAGAGTTTTAATTAAAAAAAAAAAAAGAAGAAGAAAAGAAATTCTACAAAAAAATTTAAATCATCCTATGCATATGATTTTTTTCACATATGAAACAAATAGCTTATAAAACAGCAGCTTATATAAGAAATAAATAAAAGAACAAAGATGAAGCCAGTAAGTGCCAAAAAGAACACAGAGCCACTATCTGAGATCTGAGTGCACGGTTGGTCCATCATTAGTATGCCACAGACATGAATTTTTAAAGGATTTCAGCCTATTGCTTTTTATCTCGGAAATTGAATTTTTGTTGTAGATGAATGAAATTGGTAGCGCTTTTCTTTCAGAAACTATCCCCATCTGTGTGTAACCTTACCTCATTACAGACACGATATCAAAAATTCTTAATCATCAAGCTTTTATGATGATCATTATCCCATCATACCATAATGATGTTCATTTGTTATTCAAGAAAAATAAATACATTTTTAGTTGTGTTTAAGCAGTGTCTGACAGGGCACACAGCAGAGTTTAACTTTTTTTCATAGTTGATGAACAGTTGATGGCTGATAATGAGGGTAAGGATTTTGTTTAGATTAATTTTGCAATAACGTGACGGATTCACACATGCATACTAAACATATCACCAATTATGCTCTTAAAATTATGTTGTAGATAATAATGAAAGCCTTGGCACACACAAAAGTGTATTTTTATGGCTTAAAAATTAATCTACCTATGGCTACTAGAAACAATGAAAATGAGAAGGATTTTAACTCGAATCATCTACATCTACGTATCAGACCACATAAATTTAAGTTTGTACAGCAGGACTAGAATAATAATTTTAAAAAAAATCTTGAAATTGCTTCGTTATTGTTGACAAATAATGCTTTCTTAATTTTAAGTTCATTGAACATTTTTATTTTTTGAGTAAAAAGTAATAAAATTCTGATGTCTCGCAAAGCAGCATCTCTCAGAATATGGCAAACACTTTGAATCACTGAATGTGTCTTCACACATCCTACTTCAGACTTTTCAAAGTAAAATGTGTTGGCACATTCTCTATAGTATACAGAAATCTGGAAAGTCTCTCAGCAAGAAGACATGCTGAGAGGCCTTTCTTATGAAAACTATCATATCCCTCAGTGATGAACTTGATGAGTGGACAGATGGGAGGGCGGTTTAAAAAGCATCACAGCTATCACTGCTGGAACATGTTAATGGCAATCAACATAGGATTATATGCAAAAGCAGAGGGTTGGAACAATTTCCTTGCTGTTTACGTCTCACTCATTTCCTCTTTATACCAACCACAAAAAAGAAGAGAATTACCAATTTGACTTTACCAAGAAAATATGCTTTGGAATTCACATTTGTTCTTCTTACCGCGTTATTCCTTGACTCACTCACTTACTCACCCGTCTCGCTCTGCCTCCTTCTTCTCCAGATCCTGAATGACGTCCAGTAAAACCTTGATGGTGTTCTGGCTGGTCTCCAACACCCCTTCCAGGCTGTGCAGCTGACACTGCAGAGCCCCAATGTCGTACAGAGGGCCATTTGGGCCAAACAGTTTCTCTTTAGCCTTTGCCAGGTCCAGCTTACACTTAGTCCCAGACATAAGCCCCCCCAGTAGCTCCTGCACCTGCCGCAGTGTGTCCGATTGGCCCTCCGCTGGTCCAAGGGGGGCCAGGGGGTTTGTCCCCCCAGCAGGAGGCAAGTGGTTTGCATTGGCCTGGGATTCTGGGCCGAAGATCGCCCGTCGGACACTTAAACAGGTGGGCCTCACCATAGCTCTTGCCTTACTTTTGGGAGGGATAGGAGGTGGGGTTTCACCTGCCTGATGGCGAGTTCCTGCTTCAGCATTTGGCTTCACTGCCCCAGTTTTCACTCTGTCCTTTTCAGCACTGTTGCTCTCAGCTTTGGGGACAGGAGGCTTACAGGGCTGTCCAGGAGTAGAGGAGCCCTCATTGCGAGGGGTGTAAGGAGGAGGAGGAGGTGGTGGGGGAGGAAGCATGAACTCTCTCCTGTCTCGTCTGTCCTGAGTGCAGCAGAAGGCCTGAGGAGGGGAGGGGCTCGCCCCAGCGTTAGAGTACAGCAGAGTAGTCTGTGGAGGGCAGGCATAAGGAGGTAAAGAATGCCTGAAATTAGCAGAGGGAAGCACAGTTTCCTGTGGTTTACTTGCGTACATCATTGCCTCATGTGGACAGAGAACAGGTGACATATTTTGTGGAAATGATTTGGAGTGTGATACTGTTTGAGTAAAAGTTTTTGGGAGTCTTTGTGCAAAATGTTGCACAATTTGAGAGGGATTACTGCATGACACTGCATTTTGCATACTAGAGTTGCAGTGTGGCAATGCTTGAACAGAAAGTTTACCTGGTGCAGGTTGTGTGGAAGAGCTGCATATCAGAACTGGCATGGAAGGAGTCACATGGGTTGCCACATTTTGATGATCCAAAATGCAATGTACTGCAGTTTGTGCACCAGGAATGGCATGTGCCGCAGCTGCAATAGGGCCCTTGAAGTGTGAGACAGGGTGTGGAGCAGTGGCACAGGATGGATCGGGAGGAAATGACATCACATTGTGAGGGAGGGTTTGTGTAGGAATCTTATGAGGTGCCGTAGGTTGTGTAGAAGAGCCAAAGGATGCTGGTTTGTCTTTGACACAGTATGTTATAGAATGCATTGGAATTTTACAAGATGATGTAGACTGAACAGGTGTTGGGGTGTGTGTAGCTGATATAGGAGTCTGTACAGGAAGGGTATAGGTCCTACCCAATGGCTCATTCTGTTTAGGACTCATACATCTTGGCACAGACTGAATAGGAGTTACAGGTTGTGTTGGAGATATCACAGAGTACACAGGTTGATTTGAGGTGTTGTCACATGCCATGGGTTGTGTTGGAGTCTTCTGGCATGGCTGTGTGGAACTGAACGTGGAGGCAACTGCAGGTGCTCCTTGAGAACAGGCCGCTGCCTTTGAGCCAGCAGTGTTGGAGCATGGAATGGTTTCCTTCAACTTCTGGAAACAAGGCCTGGATTGGGCAGGAGTTGTGGGATCTGTATGTGAATCTGGAATGCTTTGGGACTCTGGTAATGGGGGAATCTTACAATTTGCTGTATTCTGAATAGCAGGTGTGCAACCACGCCTTGTGGATTCAGTAGGAGACATGCATGATTGCCCGTGTGTTGAGAATGTGGTGACAGTGGATATGACTTGTGCTGTGGTAGTGCACAAAGGCTCTGGTACAGTGGGGGTCAAACTGATGTTCTCCGCATCAGCCTGCTGTGGGCAACATTGTGATGTTTCTTTGGTACATGTGGTTGATGGAGATGGTGCAGTGTGAGATGGGCAAGATGCAGGATCTACTTCAGCTTTTTGCAAAGATGTTGTGTTGTCTGGGACAGTTTGGATTTTTGAATCAATGCTTGCTTCAGTCTGTGTGGAAGAGACACTACATGGCATATTATGAACTGTGTTGGGCGTGGGGGAACGCTGCATGGCTACAATATCTGACGAAGTTCTGTGCGCCACAGCTTTGGATGGAAGCTTCTTGGGTTGGATAGACTGTTGGTGGCTTCTGTGCACAGTTTTAGTTGGGGAAGTACAAGGAGGCTCAGGTTTCCCAGGATCACTTGCTGCTCTGTTTAAAGATTTCCTCCTACCTCTCTTTCTAGACTGTTTTTGTGGCACAGCAGAACATGGCTGGAATTGTGTTGATGTACCCACAGAGGCAGTTTGATTATTCTCAGTTCTCTGGCACCTTGATTGCTCAGCAGGGGTACAATGTTGGACAGAGCTCTTCTTTGATCTACAAGGTGGAATGTAGACATGTGCGGTCAGCTCATCAGAGGAGTCTCCGTCATCCCAAGCTCCCCCCAGGCTGTGACTGCGAGACTGCGTGGCAGAGAGCGAGGGAGGCTTCTGCAAACTGGGTGAGGTTTGGATGGCTGTACTCCTGCGTGGCTGAGTTGGCAGCGGCAATGTGAGAGAACATGGATGTGTTGGGACCCAGCAGCGTCTGGCAGGCCCAGGGGTAAGAGGGTGCGGTGGTGCTCTCTTCAAAAATGCTGTCACTGCTCCAATTGTCTTTTCCATGTCCCCACGGACTGCTCCCACCAACGAGGGCCCGTTTGTCAACTCTTTCTGCCAGTTTGGAACCTCTGTTGGGCTCTTACTCCTCAGCTTGTCATTTTTATTCTTAGACTCATCATCATCCTCCAAATCTTTAAAACGTACTTGCTGTGTGCGATTTCGTCTCCGTTTAAGTCTGCTTTCAATATCTGGAGAGTTCCGGTTGAGGAGCACTGAGCGCACAGTCACGGTGGTGGGTGTTTTGTCTGGGTTGCCATTGCTATGGCTGTGAACAGTTGGCAAATGGTTGGGCTCTTTGCTCACCATGTTATCCAAGAGTAGTTTATGAACCATAGATGTAAATAAAAATTTGACTGTGTGGGTTTTTTTGTCTGCTTTCACAAGTCAAATGTGAATGAACAATTAATTAGATAAAAAATTCAGTTACAGCACACAGTATATTTGACATTTGGCAAACTCTGAACATGATAAATACTGCATTAACAAAACAAAAAAATAAAACAGACCAGCCGATGGCAGCAGAGCATGTGACTGGTCCTTTCCTCAGGTCACATGACTGAGGGTTTCTGTGTAAGTCTTTGTGGTAATGCTGTCAGAGTAGGTTCTGGTTTTGGCATGAAGAGTCTTTATAAGCAAGTGTATTTATATGCAAAAGAGGGACTGAATGTATCCTGAGCTTCAGCCCCATTAGTCCACAGGGACACTTAAACACTCAATGAGCAACCTTGGTGATACTCTCTTTGTATAAGTCCTGAAGAGCATGAAACTTTGGCAGGGTAGGCTTGCGAGTATGTCCCAGAAGTCTGCATCATGGTTTCATAGCCAAGAGCAAAATCTCAAGACACATAGCTCTCACTGTGTACGTCTGCAGCAGTTGTAACCGTGCTTGTCCTAAAAATATCAAGGCAAATAAAATGTTAATGGGATACAGTTTTCAGGCTGACCAGTGAGAGGATGTCCCGACACCTTTAATGCCCTACTTTCCAATTCAAAGCTTGTGTGCACAGTCCTCTCTGGTGTAGCATATCTTGACAGTCCAGGACTGGGCAATGCATCTCTTCAGGTTGACTTTTATCTCTCACATTTGCCTTTGAGTTTCTTTGCTTGTGTCGTTCACCTCATCATTTTCTTGAGACAGGAACAGAACTGGAACATCTGAGCAAAGTAGAAACACAGAAAAAAAGACAGTAGGTTCAGTAATGTCCCAAAATTGAGGTTTGTATTTCTGAATCATGTTTTACTTTGACAAACACATACACAAAAGCTGGCTTTAACATAAAACCGTACCTAAGAACATACATAAGTACCTAGATAGGATTCCTCAACTATAAAACTGCCTCAAGCTAAGATTTCATAAGTTCTTTCCAATAATCAAGTCTTTGATCTCTTTCCATTTCCTGGTGAGGTAGTCTACGAAATAAGAATAGTTTAGGGTCAAATGTATGACAGAGGCAGACACTGAGAGTACTTTTAGCTTGTCTGTAACTTTGGGGCTGGTGTTTAACTCGGCAGTGTCTCAGAAGGGGCAGGCTAAGAGATATTCAGGGGTAGAGACTGACAACGCTAATTAACTTGGCTTGTCTTTAAGCAAGCCCCCTGGTACATGGAGGCACAAGCATGACGTCTGATCGCCACATTCTGAACACACTCTATCACATTGTCACTGTTACCAGGCACTGCATTCTGTCTGTGATCAGACAATCACAGTCCCCTGAGTCATGAGAGGATGTTAAATGTCTGTGTACGTGTCTTGTGATACACCCATTTGCTCAGTGTAACTTTCCTATCAGATCGGTCGGACTGAATCATAGCATAGAGCATCTTACTCAACAAAACTACGTCACAGCCCTCCACTATGATATCTTGTATGTAGTAAAACAGTATTAACTTTACATGCTAATTAGCCTATGGCCATATTTGGAATGGAATATTCGCTTCTTATGGTGTGTTCAAGTTCTCCTGAGAAGTTCGTACTGACGAGTTACGACATTGGATGTATTCAAATCATTCTAGCTAGTTTTACAGCCAGTCAATACAGATGCTGCATCTATTGGATCCACCATATATTCTCACTAACATGCCCCAAACTCAGAAACTCTGGGCTTAAAGAAAGTTCAGAGTTTGCCCACTTGTAATTCCGACATTGTGGTGCCGTCTTTCTGACATGACGTGAATGCACGATTAGTGATTACTGCAGGGTATATATGTATGAATCATTCTTGTTATGCAGTACACTTTTAAAGGCAGGGTAGGTGATTTGGTTCAAAAGCATTTTTTGTTATGCTGGTTGAAAATCTCTTCACATCCCAATAGCAATCCCTAAGTTAAGTGGTCTAAATGTATTTATATGTATGTATATCGTCTGTGGAAGGTGTAGGACCATAACATGTTCGTCCAATCAAATCCCTTGCTCCAAGGGCTATGATAGGCTGTCCTACCTGCCTGTCAATGTATGTATTTGCATACCTCCACACACCCTGTTCGCACAGACATGATACGCCATCAGCGCGTTCTATTACGCTATTGCAGACTGAGCGAGAATGCAAGGCATTATTATTGTAATATTATGTGCTTTGTATTGTAATATTTTTTTTTCACCGGTGAATGAGACATGAGGTAATCTGACAGCCAAAACGTGTCTCATCATGTAGCTGGTTAGCCTCTGGTCTGCCTTTGCAATGTCATGTGTTTTGGAGGAGGCGTGGCTTTGGAGAGTGATTTGCAGGGAGGGTGGGATCTTATACTTTCAGAACTTGCTATTGCTAGACTCTCCAAAATTGCTTACCCTACCTTTAAGTTACTATAATAAACAGCAGGCTATGCCTTAATCTACTGCAAAAAATATTAAACAGGTTTAAACAATTTTTTAAATATGAATATCATATTAGTTTTTTTTTTGTTTTACTTACATCCTATTCATCTTCTTGTCATTGTGTAAATAATCAAGATAAATAAATAATTTAAAATATGTTTACATACCTGAACTTCAGCAAAGCATAAATCTGAAAGGCTGATAAACCTTAAATATTAATATAAATATTTCCTTGTATAATTTTTTCCAAATGTTACAGAGTTCGAAATGTATTGCAGAACATGAATGACTTGTATTCCAATATTTTAAACACTGTTCTCACATGACCTTATAAACATTGCATGTGCGTTGCATTAGTTAGCATCTTGTAAATAACAGTTCCCTTTCATGGGAACTTCGAACTGCGTCCTCTAGTGGTCGCTATGGGGAACGCCTCGTCGTGACCCGTGTCTGAAGCATACATTGAAAAAAACACCAACTCGTTGGCCGGCGACAGCCATGACGTCACGTCACTGACAGCCGTCTAACGTCCCAGGGGCAACTCCATTAGCAATATGGTAGAGTTGGTACTTAGTGCTCGCCATGGTTCTGGCTTGCACTCCCCTCAGCATGGTGGCGTGGGTATACCGTTCCCCATAGCGACCCCTAGAGGACGCAGTTCGAAGTTCCCATGAAAGGGAACGTCTCAGGTTACTTATGTAACCATGGTTCCCTGAGTAGGGAACGAGACACTGCGTCCTCTAGGTTTCTTGCCATGCTGAGGACGCAAGCTTCAGACGAAGAAGTGAATGATGTGTGCTCCCGGCGCCTATTTATACTATAGTCGTACCGGTAGTGACGTCATGGCTGTCGCCGGCCAACGAGTTGGTGTTTTTTTCAATGTATGCTTCAGACACGGGTCACGACGAGGCGTTCCCCATAGCGACCCCTAGAGGATGCAGTGTCTCGTTCCCTACTCAGGGAACCATGGTTACATAAGTAACCTGAGACGTTTTTATTTGTCATGTTTACTTATCAGTTCGAATCAAATCATGTTAAAAAGAAAAATATGTAAAAAAAAATCTTGGTTGACATTGCTTTGGGTTCATTCTTCACACTGAAATTAAGGTCAAATTGAGCACAATGCATTTCGCAATAATGTGCTCTGTTGAATACTGCATATTTTGGCAAAAGCAGCTGGTCATTCAAGCATTTATGCATACAGAACATTTGTATACTGCGCACACATACTACTTACTACAGAGATGTAGTATACTAGTATGCTATTCTGAGCATAATACAGAAATGCAAAACCTCAAGAACTATTTGCATGCCAAAACACATTCATTTCGATCTTACAAGTCCCTCATAGTTACTTTCAGATAGCGCCAACAGGCCCTTGAGCACAGAGGTTCACAAGAAAAGGCATAAAGCACATACTATCACCTCACACCTCTAGTTTTATGTAGGTAATCAAGCCCTCATTGATTGCCTCTCACTCAGCTAAACTACGAGTTCCTCTTGAAATCTCTCACTGCAGCTCTTCACGTTCAATCACCGCTGGAGCCCCAGACAAAAGGCCAGACATTCTCCATTATTAACCTGTTATCTCCATGTAGCCCAAAGATCAATCTAGGTTGGTACAGCTTAGCAATTGTAAGGTAGTACAGCTCGATAATTGGGGGCTTGTACAGAACAGACAGAAAAGAATAAAAGAACAGCAGTTGCAATGTCAAATTAGGTGAATGCATTGACTGTTTTTTAAACGTGTCTATATAGTTTTTAGGAATTTTTATTTTAGTATCTTTGATGTACTATTTTAGTTATTATTCATATTTAGTCTTATAGTATATAGTATATATACTATATATAGTCTTATATAGTCTTATAGTATATATACTATAATTCATATATAGTCAGTGTTGGGGAGTAACTAGTTACATGTAACGGAATTACGTAATTTAATTACAAAATAAAAGTAATTGTAATCAGTTACAGTTACTAAGAAAAAATGTGTAATTAAATTACAGTTACTTATGAAAATGTTAAGGATTACAAAGGGGGTTACATCTGATTTTTTCAAACACACTCCCACATACAGATTTAAATGAGTTCTTCCATAAATTGCAGTGACTGCTCTAAAATATGAAACACACATTTCCAAAGTAACCTTCCCAACACTGTATATAGTCATATTAGTCTTTAGTATATTTTCCATTTTTAATTTTAATTAAAGTCTAATAATTTAGTTGTTGTTTTTTTACATTTTTATTCGTTTTTTTAAGTATGTGTATATATCCCATATTCATATTCATTTTTATTTCAGTTTTAATTTTAATTATTTAAATACTTTAATTTAAACTAAAAAGAAAATGAGAAATTATGTTTTGGCAACTAGATATATATATATATATATATATAAGTGTATTTTATTTTATTTTTTTTCTGTTTGCATCTATTTTAAGTACCAAAAAATGTTTTTTATGGTTTTAATTTTAGTTTTAGTTAATGATAATAACCCTACAGTTTCCTCAATATAAAAAGTACAACGGTTTTGAACGCAGCTCATCCAAAAACAATTTAAAACAATCTGTTTTATAAAAGTCAAAAGCAAAACAAGTCTTCTGTCTCTACTGAACTCTGTAAAAGAGGTGTTACCGTCTTTAGCTGCTGCCTTCTGTTGTATGTAGTTCTGTTTTGCTTCTGCAAATGATGAAAAGTTACGTTCAGTTCAGTGCCAGTGGCGGATTCGTGGCCCCTGTGGAAGTTCAAATGCTCCCATGAGTGATTCATCCTGGCGCAGATGCCGGATTGAGAAATGTTCTTTTGCATGTCGGGTAAATAATACTTGCTGTTATTCATTTAGTTTAGTCGCATTACAATACACAGTAAGCTTTACATTTCCATCAAAACCATTTAGTAGTTGTTCACTGCAACCGCAAAAAGGCAGTGTTTCAAGTGGGTGAATTAGCATTTATAATGTGCTCACTCTGTGTAAATAAGTTATGAATACATTTGAATATGTATCCGCAGCCTTTACTCACATGCTTTGTGACAGCTTTGCTGAGCCGCACACCAGGAGACATTAATCGCTGCCAGCTTTGGCCACACACAAGGTCAATTAAGGACAAAATTACAACCAAGCTCAGGCACTTGATAATATTAATTGTTTTTCATTTCACATTCCCAATTTAGGCCAGCGGAATTCCTTCAGAGACGAGAAATGAGAAAGACTGTGGGAGATTACAGGAACGCTGAAACTCTGGCCGTAATAAAGCGGCTGAAATGAAGAGCAGAACGGATTACTTTCTGTCCCTTTGCTTTCCTGGAACTGCCCTCAATTATCCTGCATGTCTGGAAGTTG